GCTCCAACCAACTTAGCTGTCCAGCCAGGGTTATAAGCAATGGTTTATTCTATTTTTTAAAGATTTTATTCATTTTTAGAGAGAGAGGGAGGGAAAGAGAGATAAATATTGATGTGTGAGAGAAACATCAGTTGGTTGCCTCTTGCACGCACCCTGTCTGGGGACCAGACAGCAACCCAGGCATGTGCTGAGGCATCTGTGCTGACCTTGAATCAAACCTGTGACCTTTCACTTTGCAGGACAACACCCAACTGACTGAGACACACAGTCAGGGCGTTTTGTTCTCTTTTTATGGTGGAAATTTTTTCCTATTATGTTTAAACATGGCATTCTTTGTTTTAAGAATCAATGTGATCATTTTGAATACTCTTGCTAAATTTACTGTTTATCTCCATGGTCTACTTACAGATCTGTGGGTCAGGGAGGGTAGAATTATCTTAAGTGAATTATTTTGAGGTGAGCAGTAATGAAGGCACACTTTAGATTATTTCATTCTCATGATCAAAATTTGATTAGCAAGCTTATATCACTAGGGACATTTGAAGTTTTAATAACTACATCTGAAGGCCTAAAGAAAAAAATCACATTTACTACACATTCACACACAGCCATTCAGAGAGTTCCCATCTGAGAGCCTGTTTGGCTGCTTTAAAAAGAAAATTGATGGGAAGCAAGATTCCATTTTAAGAGTTCAAGCTCAGTTGACACATTGCCCTTTAAAAAACACAAAAGCTAGATGTAAGCAATTGTTTTGTGTAGAAGAGTTTTAGCATTGCTTATTTGAAAAAGTTAAAAATATAAGCTATTGATTTACCTTTCCTTTTGGAGGACAGCGTTAGGATTTCCCCCCGGAAAGTTCTGAGGCTATGATTCATGCTAAAAGCACCCTGTTCCATTATGACCAACGCAGGTTTGGAGCTATCCCTGCTTCTAGGTCAAGGGCTCTCCCAGTGGCCAGATACCAGCTTTACCCCTGGACTCTTATGATCCTCGGAAATAAATCAACTTTGTGGTAAAATCCAGTGGCTGCTCTGTTTTACATAAAGGTGTGCAGCCTGGGGATGTGATGCTATTTAGCATTTTAGGTGGACAAGAAATGAATGCAAACTACCATTACCACTGAGAAGCAATTCCAAGTGGAGCCATTACTCCAGAAATCAGGGAAGCAGCCTGATACATCACCTGCACTCTTCCTACAGCCTCTCTGACTCAAAAGCTTATGACCTGCATGGAAGCAACAAAAATACGAATGCCTGGAAAGTGTTCTAATCCATTCGTGGCATAGGTCACTACATTCCATATTGAAAAAGTGTTGAGCAAGTCATCCCCCTTAGCTCAATATTTCTTCCTGTGACAAGAAAAGAAAAAATGAGCAAATTACTACTACACACAGCAACACAAATGAATCTCATAATGCTCAAAAATAAAGAAGCTAGACACGAAATAATGTATACCGTATTGTTCTATTTGTATAAGGTTCAAAAACACACAAAATGACTTTATCGTGTTAGAACTAAGTGTAATAGTTAGTTTATCTTTGATGAAGAGGGAGAGGATTATGATGAGAAGGAAGCAGGAAGATGGCTAGGGTGATAAAAAGTCCTATTTTCTGCCCTGGTTGGTATGACTCAGGTGATTGGAGCATCACCTCATAACCAAAAAGTTGTGGGTTCGATTCCCAGTCAGAGCTCATGCTTAAATTGCAGATTGGTCCCCAGCCCAGGTGTCCATGATCCCAGATCCAGGCAGGTAGAGGAGGCAACTGATTGATGCTTTTTTCTCGCATCGATGTTTCCCTCTTTCCCTTCCTCTTTGCTTTGCTTTCTCTCCAAAAGCAATGAAAAAATGTCCTTATATGAGAATAAAGAAAAAGAAAGAAAGTTCTATTTCCTGACTTGCATAGTAGATATGTAAGTGTGTTCACTTTGTGGTAATACATTAAGCCATATAGCTATGATCTGTGTGTTTTTACTATAAGACTTATTTACTTCTTACAAACTTTTAAATTATTTTTTAAAAGTTTAAAAATAATATCCCCACTGGAAAAGACAATTTTAAGAAATGTTTGAATAGCATTTTGCCTTATTAGAACAATAGATATTATAGGGAAAAACAGAAAATTCAGATAAACTAAAGAAAAAATACTACACAAAACTCCAGGTAGGGCAATGAAATTCTTCTATGTCGCTATAAGGAGTGTTAATTGCTACTACTATCCTTGGGTAGCTGTTTGGCATTACCTATGAAAGTTAAAGATACGCATACCTGGTGATCCAGATTTCCACCCTGGGTACACATCCAGTAGAAATATGTGAATGTGAACATGAGAAGAATAGCAAACTCTCTTCATAATAGTTCCAAACTAGAAACAAGCCAAACTGTCCATCACAGTAGGGTCAATATTTAAGTGTGATATATGCAGCCTTGGAATACATACAATATTGAAAATGAATGAACCATGGCACCCTCAGCAACATGGGTGAAACTGAGAAACTTAATGTTAAGAGATAGATACCAAAGACATAATGTCATACACTCCCATTTACTTAAAGTTCAAAGAAATCAGGAAAAGGGATTAATGCAAAATTCGATGCAGATTCATTGCTCTACTTGCTCAGTCATTTTGAATGTGACAGCCACACCGTACACATGCTCACTCAACGGCATCTACCACCCTCACTGACTAGTACAGTGAAGTCATCATTGTTCACACATGTGCATTCCAGTCCACTCTCCTTGATTGCCAAATTACATCAATGTCATGAAAACCATTTTTGTTATATTAACAATGGCTCGACTTTTTCCAGACAGACCTTGTATTTAGGTAGTGAAACTACAAAAAAAAGTAATTATCTTAAAAGTAATGGCAGTGGTAACCTCTTGGGGAGAGGGTGGGTTATGACTGGGAAGGGTGAATGGAGGGCTTCTGGGCCATGTTCTCTTTCTTGACCTAAATAGTGGTTATGTGTTTATGAAAATTTACTAAATTCTACTTTTACATACCATACACTTTGCCAAATGTGTACATTTGCCTTTTATTGTTATATTTCACAATAAAAGGTTATAAGAAAATCACAAGAAACCCAAATATTCGGATAGCCATTAATGAACAGATTGATATATGTACTGTCAGACCTTCTTTAATGCAATATGTCTATTTTGTCCATATTGCTTTGTGGCCTTTATTTATTTATTTTCTTTAATAATATGACCTCCCAGAAGAATTCCTCTTTGGTTTTTATTTTTCCATTTCTATTTAATTTTAACTAAGATTAAATACCATACAAGCTTTATGGCCCTCTGGAAGCCCAAAGGCATAGAGTGGCTTTCAGGAAATTAGGTTGCTTTAACCTAAGCTACAATGATTCATAAACCAATCTGCAGGATTTTTGCCATAGCTCATGGGAGACTTTTCTTCTCTGATAATAATGCTGCTGCTTGAAAAGAGAAAAGCCTTTCCCCACCTCTCCAGAGTGCTGTCTTGTCAAAAGGAAAGGCTAGGCAATGAAGGAGAAAGGCAGGGTGGGGAGTGTGTTCAGAAGGCTTGAGGTGGGGGAGGGTCGTCCTAAAACTTATACAATGGGAGTCATGCTGTGCCCACTCTGAGCCCGGCCTAGGCAACATTACGGTCTAGGTGGGCTTTTTGTTTTGTTTTGATTTTTAACATCAGTAGTTTCATCGCTTTTTCCTGCTCCTGGAGCAGTACAAAGCGTTCCTCTCTGTTCCTGCAGGACACTGTCCCTCACCCTTACCCTAACCACAAGCAACCTCTACTGTTCTTCACCTTTCTCACCTTTTCATCATCTTGAGTATTACGTGGCCCAAGGGCCCTTTTATGGCCATCCAAGCCTGGGTGGCGACCCCGAGAGAACTCCATGGCACCTTGCACTTGCCACATCACAGCATTTGTTACTCTATTTCAAAATTGCCTGTTTTCTTGTCCATAAACACTCTGCTAATTCATAAGTTTCCTGCATGCAAGGACAGTGTCTGCTTCATCATCGTAACTCCGGGGCTAGTACACATTGGCACTCAACAAACATAGTCAATGAATGAATGAAAAACAGTTGTGAAATGAGATGGGACATGGAGCGAGGGGCTGTGACTTATACTGTGCTTTCCCAAACACCTTCACCTGTTGAGCACAAAGGACTCAACCAGTCCAGTCACACGAACATGGAATGGTACAAAATTCTAAAATCTACAAGTGCTCCATTTCAAACACTTACTAGTAATAGCAGTTTGCATTTGGATAGTCTTTCATTTTGTTAAGCAGTTTCATATATTATCCTGTATAATTCCAACAACAAATCCTCCAGGGTGAGCTGGTAAGCTATTAATATCATTTTGTAGATTAGATAGCTGCCTGAGAGATCTTAATTAACAGGCCCCTCGATATATGACTAGTTTTTGGTGTAAGCCAGAAATTAATGACCCCTTAGTGCAAAAAGTGGAAACATACTCAGTGTATACTATACTCAGATATATTTTCAAGGAATAGACACATAAAATAAATATATGACACCATTCTGATTTTTACAAGTATTTCAGTATACATTTTCTTTTTTAAACAACGTTTATTCTTTGAGCTTTACTTTTCCTCATGGAACTAGTACATATTTGGTGTACAAAATCAAAAAAGCACAAATAAAGTCAAAATCACTTATGATCACATTAACTAGAACACTCTATTGTTACCCCATTTTAATAACTCTAACTGCATGTTAAGTTAAGCTCTTATAGAGTGAAAGTTTCCCTCCCACACTCTATGCTTTTTCTTTTTCCACTCGATTCTTTATCTCTAAAAAATTTTAAACTCTTCTTGGCCATTTGCTCTTTTATTTAAATTTTAGAATTGGACTAAAACTCTTTTGGGATTTTTACTGGATTTGCATGGATTATTATAGATTAAATAAAATTAAAAGTTTTACTATATTGGTTCCTCTCTTTCATCAAAAGTCTATTTTGCCATTAATTTATGCCTACTTTAATGTCTTTTTAAAAATATGGAATGCTTCAGGAATTTGTGTGCCATCGTTGGGCAGGGGCTGTGATAGTCTCTGTACGTTTCAATTTTAGCGTGTGTGCTGCGGCAGCAAGCGCTCGGAAGGTGTGCCTTACTGTTGGAGTCTGTCGGAGAGGAAAGGGAAGAGGTTGCCTGTTCTTTATGCTCTTTATGAGACAGAAACTGACAGAGACATTAATCTGGACTAATTGTAACTATCACACACAAAACAATTGAGTTATGTGACTGACAATTAGGGAAAATGGTTCTGGCTTTTGCTATTTTGTCCTTTCTATCATCTGAACAAAAGATTGTTTTCTATTGATGGTCTTGGCAGAAGCAATGCAGTAGGGCAAAGGGGTTGTGAAGATAGGAAAAGGAGTAGGAAAAGAAAATGGGAGGGGGAGGAAGGTGGTCAGACCTGTTGACGATGAGGGCTGGGGGGGAAGGATGTGTTGTCCGGACAGGTGGAATGGCTGGAGAGCAGTGGGGCGGAGACAAAAGAATGACAGCGAGTTTGGATTTCTGCGTTTGAAAACCAGCGGCGTGGCTTGGGAGCTTGTTAGGAAGTCAGAATCTTGGTCCCAGCTCAGACCCACCCAATCACAATCTGCATTTGAACTAGATCCCCAGTAATTCCTATGTGAGTTAAAGTTCCAGAAACTCTTAGTTGCTCCCAACCAGTCTGAGCCATCCTGATCCTGTCATCAGCCTTAGACCTATGAATAGATGAAACTGGGTTGGTTGCCTAGAGACCTGGAAGTCTGATTCCTCCTGGAGACTCTGAGCCTCAGTGTTCTCTTACCACTTTGGCCAAAGCCAAAAGTCAGCCTCAGTTTCTCTGCCCAGCACTTCAGTTTTTTCAGGGGTTGGATCCTTGCCAAGAACCGCAGTTTCATCAGCAAGGTCCTGATGCTGTGCCAAACTCCTGCTCTCCTCTTTCGTCGGGAGGCAGGATGTGATTTCTGACTCCCTTCTCAGCTTCTGGCTGGGGCCCTGCTGTGACTGAACTGATCACCTGGAACCATGCCTGATTTTGAATATTGTCGGTTGGACTTCTTCCAGAACTGTGTTCTGCTGGCAGATAGGACTCACTCAGACATCCAAATAGCCTGGCCCAGTCTGAGCTAGTCATGCCCTTTGACCACTGCGCACTGGCCTGCTGTCTCCTGGGGATGGGCCAGCTTCTGAACACAGGCTCTGTCCCCTCTGGATGTTTGTTCTTTCCCGCCTCCAATGGTCTGTGCTGTCGTGGTCCCAGCCTGCCTGTACCCAGATGCCTTCTACAAAAGAGGAGGAGGCCAGCAGAGACGAAGAGAAGTAGGCCTCAGACCCTTCTCTCTCTTACCATCTATGAGGCCAGAGCTCCTTGGGCCTGCTTCAGTGTGGACCTTGAAACGCCCTACACTGCCCATGGAGCCCTTTACATAAAAGGAATTCTGAAAGTCCTAGCAGGCTAGTGAGTACAAAAAGGTGAGTGGTTTTACACATCTTGTACTTTTGGCCCCTTTTCTAAGGTAGAAAAAATTTTGTTGCCTGAGTTATCATATAAACACAAGCCAATCCATATAGAAGCTCAAAAATTTCTCTGGTGTCCATATAACCAGTTCACTTTAATCAATGACATGAACCCCCCTGCTGTGCTCAGTTTATGGTGGAATATTATACAGTTTATCACACCTGCTACTACTGAGTTCCAACCCAGCACAAAATGGCACGAAGTTCAGTGCCGTCAGTTATGGAGACCCATGTTGAAATAAACATTACTCTTCGTCAATTAATAATAAGCACTGACTGTATCTTTAAGACCATTGCATCATTTCTATCCCTAAGAACTATTCTTATGATGATTAAAAAGAAAAGAAAAGAAAAGAAAGAAAGCAGTGTGGGTACTTACAGTAACTAAATAATAGTGTGGGTGTTGTTTCATTATTTACATACATAACACTTTCACAAGAATCCAAATGTCTTATAAAAGAAAATACAAAATGCAATAAAGATGTGGTAACACATAAAGAAAACAATTATCCAAAGGAAAGTTTAAATTTGGCATAAGTTGCACCGAAAGAACGGATCGGCATCCACTGACTGTATTTGCACATCCAAAGGAAGGCACACGTTTGCCACATTCAGAAAAGAAGTTACGTGGAAAACAGAGGGGAAAGTAGTAATAAAACAACCATTTTGAATAAGAAATACATGCTATTTCATGAAGTCACTCCAAGTTTCTAAAGTTGCATGACGATCTCACAGAATTTGTAGGGTTGAATAAATATGATTTTCCAAAAGGCACACTCGGCCCAGCAAAATCCAAGGTTCTAGGAAGATATGACTCAAGACTAGAGAGAGTAAATGGACAGGAAATAGAACATCTGCAAGCATTAACTATTCATGGCACCTTTCTAAAGGTCCACATTTTCTCAGAACTGACTTTAGTTGATAATTCATGAAGAAACCATATTTGTAAAGGACCCAGTTTTGATGACTATCATGATGGTTCTCCTTCACTTGCTTTCAGTTTTATGCCTGATGTTATGTCAGTATTTGAACAAGGTTCCAACCCACCACTTGAATTTTTGGAAAAAGGGAAACCCAGTAGAGGGGGAAAATACTCCCAGGAAAATTTTCTGAAATGTTGCAGAAGATTAAAAATGGATAATTACATACAGCATCACACCACTTCTAGTGCTATTATAACTTTACTATGTGTAGTTATAGTCAAACCACTCAAAATTATGTCATTTGTCTTCCTTGCATCTCTTTTGTTTTCATCAGTCACACTGCAAAATCAACAAAGACTACATCATCCCGCTGAGGATTCAGCTGTGGAAAAGCATCCGCTCGTTCATCTCTAGGGTGGCTATTATTAGCTTTCTTTGAGTCTCTCCTACGATACATGCCCATGCTTATTAAGCTGTTTGTTATATTACTCTATGAATATGACTATTGCTATGCAGTGCACTCCAGTGAAACACAGGGGTCCCTATTTCTATAGGTCTTTCCAAAATTAATGTAATCTGCCTATTTTTTTCTGAAACATTACTCAGGGCAAAAACATATTAACATCATATTTGCACTGATACTGAACCTTTCTACAACAAATTTTACAGGGCATGCACCAGATTACACAGCGTGTCCTGCTAGATCCATGTCCATCCAGCACCTGTGAATACCCCTTTATTTGGAAATAGGGTCTTTGTGGATGTAACGAAGTTAGGGTGAGGTCACACTGATTAGAGTGGGCCCTGAGTCCAATGACTAATCTCCTGATAAGGAGACCATGCAAGAGACACATTTAGGGAGATCATTTTGTAAAGACAGAGGCAAAAGTTGAAGTGACACAACAACAGACCGAGGAATGCCAAGGGTTGTCAGGAACCACCGGAAGATGGGAGAGAGACTCAGGACAGGTTCTGTCTCGGAGCCTTTGGAGGGGTGTGGCCCTGCTGACATCTTCATTTTGGACGTTACCTACAGAACTATGAGATCTAAATGTCTATTGTTTCATCCACCCAGTTTGTGGTTTTGCTATGGTGGCCCCAGGAAACAAATGCGATGCCCAATGTACAGATTATGAAAATAAGTAAGGGCTTTAACTTATACAAAGGTGATACTAACTTGCCCTGGTATAATGAATTAGAAAAGGGAAAGGCTACGTGTTACAGTGACATGGCAAGTATAAGCCAAAGATGTGATAACAAAATTGGTCATTCTAGCATCACAAGGCAGGTATAACGAACAGAATGAAAGTTTTAGCCAAAGCATTAAGGCATAGATGTCACATTTTAAAGTGAGGTATGAGACTCTCACTTTGCAAGATTTAGAGTATGTTGTCAAAATCTGATAACATGGCTTTTCAACCCCTTATATCAGTTAAGAGTCCATTAAAATGAAAATTAAAGATGCAAGGTGAGGGTTGTTCTTTTGTGCAGAATAGTCTGTATGTCACATGTCCCCACCTCCTTCCAGAGTCTATCAGGGCCAAAGAAAGTGTGAATCATCCCCTTGGTCAGACATGGGCCACCCACAAGAGAAAGCAGCCATGAGTTATCTTATGTCCTAAGAGGGTCATATGGATGGGTGACCAGATGATGAAAAAGCTGCAGTCGGTACCAAATTCCCGGGGTCTGAGCAGGAATGAGTGGTCAGCCACGTAAAGGTGCACTCTGTCTACAGGAAGTGTAGGTGAGAGAAGTCCCACCCCTGGGTGTCTTCAAAGAACTCATACAACGCCAACAGAAGTGGCAACTCTGAATACTCATCAAGACTTGAGTGTTCTGATACTAGGTCTTTACATGTCTACTAGGCAAGTGAGAACTTTCCTGTTCCCCTTTTTCCCATCAGAAAGCTGAAAGGGGAGAGACTTCCACCAAGATGGAGGTGTAGGTGGAAGCACTGTACCTTCTCACACAACCAATTTTAAAAACAATAAAGTTTTAGCAACAAAAATGCAGCCAAACCACAGAAAATGGAATTATATGGAACTCTGACAATAATGAACCCTTCAGCCAAACTGGTAAGAGCCAGTTTGCCAGAGCCAGCAGCACAGCAGGGTTGGGCAGGAAAAATCTGGGCTGACAACTCAGGCACACCGGCAGCTGTAGGCAGATCCCAGGTGTAGAGTAGCAGGCGGACCCACTGAGGGCTGACCACGGTCACACATTCGCACTCAGATAAACCAGTGAAGGAGTGAGCAGTGAGACAGACCGTGCAGGCCCCAGTGGCAGGAAGTGGCAGGGGGACCGCCATTGTCCCTCTCTGACCCTGCCCCTACACACAGCGTCACAAACCAGCGACCTGGGTGGCCCCACCCTGGTGAACACTAAGGCTCTGCTCCTTATATGTAACAGGCACGAACAGATCAAAACATGGCTCAAGAACAACTCAGAGCCCCAGAGCCAATAAATCTAAGTGACCAAGAAATAGCCAACCTTTCAGATGCACAGTTCAAAACACTGGTGATCAGGATGCTCACAGAACTGGTTGATTTTAGTCACAAATTAGAGGAACATGTGAAGGCTAAACTAATTGAAATGAATGGAAATGCACAGGAAACCAATAGTAATGGAAAGGAAACTGGGACTCAAAACAAAGGAGT